TATGTGTTGCTTACTTTTAGGCAGTGTATCCTGAGAACTGGACTCTGGTGCCAATATGTGTTTGTAGTGGAGTTATTGTATTGCATTGCATTGCATTTTTCATGTATTGTTCTTAGTTGCGTGTTGAATGGATGACTACATAGAATGAATGGATGGATGGATGGATAATATGAATGAATGAATGGATAATATGAATGAATGAATGAATGAATACCAATAAAGGAGAATATTTGTAGCTCAGGGTTGACATGAGGGGTCCTTGATGCTCTCTGAGCTTGCTTGTTTTCTTGCAGATGTTTCATTACCCAAACTAGGTAACATCATCAGTTCTACTATTAATGAAACATCTGCAAGAAAATAAGCAAACTCAGAGAGCACCAAGGAAGGAAGGAAGGAATGAATGAATGAATAATCACAAGTTAATCCTACATAACAATATCTTTTCAAGCTATAGTATTCTGTCTTACATCAGGCTGTAGTCTAATGCAGTGATAAAAGAAGGCTAGGAAACATCCTGAAATTGAATGAAGATTGTTTAAGTTTACTTCATTATCATTGCACTTCGAACAACAAAATTAAATGCCATCTTCAGTGTACATCATACATAAGAAAACTATAAAAAAAACACACACACACATCCTTCACATTCTAAACAATGTGGGCCAATAGTCCTATGTTCTTAACCTTCCCTATACTGGCACCTTCCAGATACATTGGGATTAAAACTCCAGTGTTTAGGAGTTAGGTGGCAGGGAGAAACTAAAGGGAAGTAGCATTGAACTTTGCAAAAATGCCATTCCTTTTCCAAGGACATCTGGGGGAAGAGATTTCAGACTGGATCCTACATAGCTATTTCAAGCTATGTAGTACCGCTCCTAGTTCTTCTATGGATCAGCTTGACATCTTCTTTTAGAAGATTAAGAGGAGTAGGGAAAAGTTCCTTGAACCTGATCAGGAGTGAGGGTCCTCAGGAACAAGCTGAATGTGAATGCCGTCAAAGAAGAATCTTGTCTTATGGATCTTAAGAATGAGCTCCAGTTCCTAAGGGGCTACCACAAAGAAGAGAGGGTCAACCTATTCTGCAAAGTCCCCGAAGGCAGAACAAGAAGCAATGGGTGGAATTGAGGAGAGAAGCAACCTAGAACTTAGGAGAAATCTCCTGACAGAACAATTAATCAGCAGAACAGCTTGCCTTCAGAAGTTGTGGGTGCTCCATCACTGGAAATTTTTAAGAAAAAATTAGAAAACTATTTGTCTGAAATGGTATTCAGCCTGAGTATAGGGTTGGACTAGAAGATCTCTAAGGTACCTTCAAACTCTGTTATTCTGTTATTCTGAATAGTTGCTGATGATGCCCTAGGAGATTGCAACCTCTAAGGCCCCTTGCTATAACCTTAGCCTGCCAACCTGATGCTTTCCTAGTGAGTCAAAACTATAGTTCCCAGAATTCCTAATTCTTGACATATAAGAATGGGGAATTCTAAGAGTTAAAATCTAGTTTAAGGCCACCAGATTGAAAATCTGCAGTCTGGATTTACAGTCTTAACTGGGTGCCCCACCATCTTTTCTATGGGCCCTTTTCCTAAGCATTGTGTTAATTTATTATATCCACCTAGATTTTAAAGGTGCAAAGGCCTACACCCAGCTGCATGGAATGATTTTCTTCCGTAAATCAAAGCCTTTAATATTAAATAATGTTTTCCATAAATATTCTTTCTAGACTGAGATGGGATTAGAGTCAAGCTGCTTTATTTTGCTGCTTGGTTTAATTAGTTTGCTTTTATGTCTGAGTCATTCTTGTGCTATCTCACAAATTCGTTGTTTACAGTTTAGCATCTCCAGCAATTCAAAGCCTTATTGATGTGGGGGAAAAATAAAGGAAGATAAACTCAGGTCAAACATCTGGAGAGGTTCCAGTTAGCAATTACCATTTGCATTGTTTTGAAAATATTCCAAATTTTATATGATGACTGAGGGGAGCTTCATCTAAATCTATTGTTTGCTGCCTTGCTGATTCAAATTAGAAGAGCACTGTTGTCACTGTGTGATAAAGGAAACTGCTCTGTATAGAAAATGGAACTTTTAATACATCTGATGTGCAAGAGGTTCATTGACTCAGCTATAAGTAGATACATTCTCAGAAAACATTTTTCCTGCAAAATTTGCAAACCGTTTTTTAGCTGATGTAAGTTAATCTTTTCAATGTTTACAGTTTTACGGTGCTTGGTTTCAGGTTGAGACACTTTTCTTGCTGCCGTGCTGAAATGGTTTGCCACAACCTTTTCCTGGGATTGTTTTGTTGTTGTTGTTTTCAATTTAAATTTACTTATCCATAAATCATGAGATAAACCAAGTATTCACTATGTTTCACTCTGCTTAGCTTGCAAACCCAGGTAGAGATGGCCAGATGCTTCCACTTGCTGAGAAAGTTTACAACATAAAGTGTACAGGGGTAGATTTCTGCTGGTTTTACTACCAGTTCGCAACCCACTGCACACGTGTGCACTGTTCAATGGAAATTGTTCTGCACATATGCACAGTCACTAAAATCCAACATGGCAGCGACATCAGTGGCGGCAAGGAGGGAACAAGTTCAGGGGCGTGTCAGGCAGTTCCACCACAAATCCGCAAAGCCCTTATCCGTGGAGACATAAGCGCGAAGAGTAATTCGCGCTGTTCGAAACGTTAAGGAAAAACGCGATCCTACCGCGATGACATAAG